TATCTGTGTATGTATGTGACAATTGTACTGTACTGTGTAGTTGTACTGCACCCTAGTGGATGACGTAGGAAAAAAAAGGGAGGGGCGGTGAGGGCAAGAAAATGTGGAAGCAGAGAGATATAGGTTTCCACAAGAAAATAAAAAAGCTTTCTCCGTTCGTGTGCGGGAGAATAGTCGTCCCTGTCGCGTGCTTGATTCACCAGAATTGACAAGGGCATTCTGACGTGCAATATGCGATAGAACGGGCTGTTCTCCGGAGGAGAGACCTCAATATTCCAAGACAAGATGAAAAGGTGAAAGGAAACTAAGCGGGGACGCCCCGGCCCGGACATACATAAGAAAAGAAAATAAGAATAGGAGACCAGACCAAAAAGAGAAGGAGGATTTGAGATAGCCGGGTGAACGTGATCCTGATTAAGCAAGCAAGCAAGCAGGCCAAGACTAGAACTGAAAAAAAAAACATCGAGCTGAGCAATAAAGGGCTATGCTGGGTATCCATGGGAAGAGACACACAAAGTCGCGAGGTAACTAACAGGCCGCCAGATTGGGGGGAAGAGGGCTGCGGGAGGCAGTTAACGAAGATAGCAGGCGGCGGATTGCAGTGAAGCGAGATAACACCATATACACACCAGCTGGTTGCGCCAGGGACTGTCGTGAGTGAAGACAAAGAGGTAAAGGTGAGTGGGTAGGTGCGTTTGTTTGAGAGGAGGATGTTGCGGGGAATGGAGGAGAGTTCTTTTGACGGATAATCAGAGTGCGTCTGCATCAGCTGAGATACCTGGGACTGGGACAGATGTCACCGGGCTGCTTGGCGAATCCAGTCCCTCTCCGCTCCCACTTCCGGAAGAATCCTCCGGGGTCACATCAATGGGTTTGGGCAGATGGAGGGCCTTACGCTCCTTCTTGCCATTCTGGCTGAGCATCGAAGACGGCGAGGGAGTGATACTCGGGGACGGTTTCTTCGAGGCTGTCTCGGGTCCGGTCTGCATGGGGCTTGTATGACCCTCCGCCGTTGGGAAGTAGTAAGTATCATTGGCGTAGCCACGCCACTTGCGCCAGCCCTCGAAGTCGATCAGAGCTTGCATGCATCCCCATTCCGTGACCTTCTGCTGCAACCATTCAAATCGCACAGGCTGTGAAGAGATCGCTATTAGTAAGGGGTTAAGTCATGGGAAGTCAGAGAACATACCTTGGTCAAGAAGTCATTACAGCCGGCCGCCAGAGCTTCGTGACGATCACTCTGCAAGCTGCTCGCCGTCAACGCCACGATAATAACCGGGCTTTTGAACAGAGACAAGTCATGTAACGTGTCTTCTTCATTCAGGGGATCACTGTTGCCTGGAATGGCTGGCGGTGAGGTCACACTGGCCGTGGCCGCACTAGACCGTCCATCGGCGGTTTTAGGGAACACGCCAATGCCGTTCAGCCGCTCCAGTCGCCGAATCTCCTTCGTTGCATCTAATCCGTTCATGACGGGCAATTGAATATCCATCAAGACGAGGTGGAAACCGCCCTGTCGCCATTTCTTCACGGCCTCCGCGCCGTTTGCAGCGCACTTCCAACGTACACTCAGACGCTTCATAAACGCTTCCAGAAGCCTTTGATTGATATTATTATCCTCAACAATCAACACGTTGATCGGTGGCACCGTGCCCTCAATGAGACCACCAAAGGCCCCACTTAATGACTGCGTCGCACTCGGTTTCTTCGGCTTGGCGGACGACGCAGACGGACGGGGACGCGGAGAAGCTCCACGTGCAGGAGGTGTAAGCGACTTGGCCTGAGGTGACTCCGGGGGAGGACCGGGCGGAGTGGGAATGGAGGGCACCGGCTGGGACGATAGAGGTCCTGGGACACCGTTGGGGTCTAACAGAAAAGTAAGCGGGTCTATCTGGAAAAAAGGCCAAGCCTGAGATGGTGATTGGTTCAAGAGGGCACAAACCTTTCGGAGCCGTCACCTGGCCTAGCATCGTAGGAGAGTTTGTAGTATGGCGAGTGAGTGGTGGCCGACGCGGGTGTCGATTCCCGCGACTTCCCGGCGAGGGCAGTGGCGGGGCCATACCTGTAGTGAGGATTGATATCGACGGGGCGGGATGGGCGTTGACACTGGCAGAGGAGTTGTTTGGGTGTGATGGCGGTGTGGGAACAGTGGGATTTGCTGGCATGAGAGGGAAGTAGTCGCCATGCTCGCCGGGCTCGGACTGGTTATAGTAGACTTGAGGGCGCGGGGACGGTTTGGGTGTGCGTCGCTGAGGAATGTCGATGATAAGAGCCTCTTCAATGACTTGCCCTCCGGGATAGTAGGTGTCCACCACGTTCATCAATGACTCCTCTGGGCTCAGGATCCGATCGGGTGTCGTTTGTCGATTGGAGCCCTCTCGGGGTGAGATTCGGACGACGATATCGGGCGCATCGAAAGTCTTGCCCAGAGAGTTGGCGTACTTGTTGATCACCTGGTCTCGCAGCTCGTCCACCACGAAGTCATCCGTGATGGGGACCAGAGTGGCCGACCCACCTGGCCGTTTGACCCAGATCTTGCGAACCATACCTGTGCCGTACGTATTGAAGCGACCGTTGTCAAATCCGTCAGGTTCACCCGTGGGCCCCGAATCCAGCAGGCTGTTAATCAGATGTTGGTGCGACGGCGCAAGCAGTGACTGACGGCGAGAACCAAGACTTGGGCGCTTCGGGAACGGTGCGGGTGTGGTTGAAGTCACTACCTGGTAGGTTGTGGATTCCCCGGACGGAATTTCCGCAACTGCATCTAAGACGGGTAACTGGGGTTCAACGACCGCAGACCCCAGGCGTTCCAGGCTCAGACTGTTGAAGGCAAGCTGGAAAGACGGGGCGTTGGCGCGACCGGCACTTGGAGGGGGAGGGGTTGGTATCGGCGAGGGTAGGCGATCGGGGGCGAGACTCGTTGTTGGTGGGGGGTGACCGTGCTCAGAACACAAGCTTGAGTTGGGACGTTTGCTGGATGATGAGGTGCGAGCGACAGGCTTGCGCTGCAGCGGGAGTCGGGGTGCACTGGAAGATGCAGCGCCCGTTTGCTGAATGGCCGACGGTCGATTCTCTTCGCGCTGCTCTTCGACCGTATCTTCTGGTCGGGGCTTTACGGATGGAGTGTTGTCGAGAGGACCGTCGAGAGGACCGTCGAGCTGTCCTCGGCTGGAGGTCGGGACCGGTTCGCGGGAAATGTCGCCCACAGCGGCAGAAGCTAAGGAATCACCGTGCTCCGAAGCGACCGGGTGGCTGGGAGGACGGCCGTCGTCGGGAGAAGGTCGAGACAGAGTCTGGCAGGAGTGTGCGCGGCGGGCTGTTTGGTGATCGGCGGACGGAGAAACGTTAGCCGATGGGTCCTGCAGCTGTCCGTTGTCGGTGACGGAATTGACGAGGCTGTCTCGATGGGGGAAATTGTGAGGGAGAGATGATGGAGTCGGAGGACTACCGTTGCCGTGGTCGTGGTCGTGGTCGTGGTCGTGGGAATGAGGGGGAGGGGGTTCGTGGTGGGAGAAACTGGAGCTGAAGTTGCAGTCATGGCTGGACCCAGCAGATCCATCATCGGTGCTGGCGGTGGCGGCGGCCGGAACGGAGGATGTCGACGATCGCCGCCAGAGCTTCGCCTTCAATCGAAGCCACCGACGGTCAGGCATGACGCGTTGGAGCAATAGCTGCAAAGAGTTGTAAAGGAGTGACAAGACATGGGATGGTAAAGAAGAAATTTTGAAGGTTCCCTCTAATTGACTCCGTACAAGGCGTAGAAGGTGCCCGACGCCGTTAGAGGAGGGCCAGGCACAACAAATCTTCGGCCGGGAAGGAAAAGGAAAGTTAAGAATAGACAAGGAAGCAACCAGAAGAAAAGAACCCAGCTCCGATAAAAGATCGATGATCTGAAACACCCACACTAGAGCCCAGGCAAAAAGCAAATAAAAGAATGAATGCACAGCTGATGTGGTTGAATGAAGGAACAGACCCTGAAAGGTCACCGCGTCCCCTGCCGGCTCAGTTGGCATACAAGCATCAATGAGGGCGAGGAGTTACAAGGCACAGAAGTGAAGCCACTCGTCATGACTTAAGGACAGAGAGGAATGGAACAGAGAGACGATTGAACGTAATCATGAAGTAAAAAAAAGCAGAGAGAGAAATAGGAGTAGCAGAAGCTGTCTGCCAATGACCGGTCAATGAGGCACGACAGACTGTCGCTCTAGTCGATTATTGGATTAGCCTGCGATCTCTGCTGGCAAGAAAGAGAACAAGGATAAGCAAAAGTGGCCCGATCAACGAAGTGGCAAACAGAATAACAGCCTCAAGAATAACATATCAAAAGGTTTAAACATTGAGAGGCTGTGACTTTGGAGATGTCATGTTTGTAGTTGTTGTGTTTGGAGAGAGAGGGGGAAGCGGAGAGGGGGAGGGGAGGAGGAGGAGAAGAGAGGGGAAGAAGAAGAAGAAGAAGAAGAAGAAGAAGGAAAGTGAAGCAAATGTCAATGTCAAGATCCATTGTCAAGATGTCATGATTATTAGGGGATATAACCTACCAGTCAATTTAAAATAGATTATTATGACCGTTGAAGGAACAATCGGATCGAGGGAATTAATGGTGTTATTAAAAATAAAAAACCCAATTTCCTCACCACGCTTGGGCCCGACAGAGCGCCGGGCTTCGAACGGTTTAATAAGGATGTGAGAATGAGGGAGTGACCGTCGGTTTCATGCACGCTGTGTTGGCATTGCCCTCCAATTCATCGATCGGTCTGTCAATACATTTACATGCATGCATGCACTTGCAGACAGACATCTGCATTGCTATCTTTCTCACCGGCCGAAACTTTCGATCGTTCATCCGAGCCTTTTTGCTTCTACACCGAAGGCAGTCAGTCGCAGAACTACGAAGAGCTTTTCTACGAGTTCACCTGGACTACGTGTAGGTTCTTTCTTGCGTCAGTCATTGAATAGATATCCAAAGCCCGTCCCGCAAAACAATCATATATCTTTCTCTCTCAGTCCCAGTGAAAAAGAATATCACCTCGCAATATATATACTTCTTGGACCCATCAATAGGGAACCCCATCTCAATCACTCCCACTCTCTCGACTCTCCGCCGTGCCACCAACATGACCCTTCAAATTCTCCGGATCAGAGGCCCCCAAGCACCTCGACCGTTCTTCAAGCACCTCATCAATGCTCCTGCCCGTGGCCTTCGCCTTCCTCCGCACGGCGCGATATCGAATCCGCCAAACAATGTGGCTCGCATAGATCCCACCTTCCAGGACGACGCTTTCCCATTTCACCCATCAAAGTCAGTAATCAGTATGCATTTTCCAAAATCCCAACGCAACTTTCCCCACAACTTACACAACAATGTACATGATCCCCCCAAGAATATCGAAGGAACCCTGCGCCGCTGCCCGAAGTAAGCCAAGTCAGCCATCATATCGAACAATCAACCATCCTCAGGGCTATAATCGCGCGCTTCCCAAAGAAGAGGAACGACCCTACCCAATGCAAAGAGGGAAAACAGTCCTCCCAAAGTGTCGATAGACAGGAAGACCCAATCTAGAAAGAACGGGGTTAGACATATCTCGCCCATGCTTGCCCCCCACCCCCAGGGTACGTGTTAAAAGGCTCACTGAATCCGACCACGCGGCCATCTCGCTTCCAGAGCTCAAAATACGGCGGGACGAGCCCCAGTCCCAACAGGATGGCGGCCACGATGCCGACGATCAGGTCGGGCCAGGTGACGCCCTTGTTGTAGGGGATCTGTTATTGGAATCCATTAGCGCGAGATGTCAGTTTGTTGTTGTCAAAGCCCATTCGGGGGTCCACGTGCTCTGAGCGTGAGGATCAAAAGGGCCTCTATCCCGCCAAACAGGACCGCAGCGCCGACCACCACTCCCGTAGCTGCGCGGCGACTGTATTGGCTGTAATACCAGGCCAAGTCAGACGGATTGATTGATCAATAGAGGAAGACCCGGAGCCGCTTACTGGCCGTAGTACAGAACCTGACCCCAGCTCACAAGAGAGAAGAACCCGAATATCTGGGGCTGGATCTGTAGCGGGATATTCACTCCCTGCAGGATCATATAGGCTCCCATGGGGACTGCACCTGCACCGATATCATTAGCATTTGTCTGGAACACTAGGGAGAGAAAGGGCCGTAGAGGGATCCTAACGTACAAGCAGCCCAGAGAAACATCATCAAGGGTGGAAGCCCATCGGTCTTCTTCTGTTTCCAATTATACCAGATTTGCGGAATAAGTTGAATGCACCAGAGCACCGTCCCAATGGTGCCTAGGACGTTCGAGGCCACCGTGACATTGCCGTCTCCAGCCATCGAGATGCCCGGATACACTGCAACCGCTGACGTAGGCGTAAAAGGGACTTTTTTAAGGATCCGAAGTATAATCACAGCAGTTTGACCAGCTAAAAATGTAGGATAGATAAGCAATTTAGAAGCGGGAAACCCCTCTACAGACATCTTTCATACACTTGAGCCAAGCACATCATGGTCGTCATAAAATTTCCTTTTTGCTCCAGGAATGCTCCACTACCTTCAAAAACTCTGGATATGACTAGCGATCCTCAACGGCTCGAGTCATGGTGAAAGGGTCGAGATAAAGTCGGACCTTGAGGAAGACTTGCCATCATCCACTGGTTCGGGAAACGAAGCCCGTCATTGGAAGAGCGGGCGATGGAGCGGCAGCGGAACTAAGACCGAAATGGTCAATGAGATGAGAAATCCCCGCCAGTATAAGTTAGTCGGATCAATTTCCATGCAAAACACATAATCAACCAGCTCCCAAACAAGGTCAACCCCAAGTATAAATCGAGCCGAACGCCAGTCAACACGATAATTGCAATGGATCACGAGCTACGCTCGTCGCTGACTCCCCATGATCGGCTGGTGGAGAACTTGTCGCTCGCAGTTAAGAATCAGGGCCTATGCGGTGGTTAGAATACTATTCGAAGTCCGACTGAGTTCGCATGAACCAGAGAATGATTATAACAAGTACAACCCTGAAAGCCATCGGAGCTGGCGACAAATTCCACTGATTCATCAACCAAATAATTAATCGTCAGTCGTGCGCCTGCCTGTCCCGAGGCGACATACAAAGAAAACCTTCCTTGAGAATATACAGAAAATTCATTGAAATGTATAAGAAACAGAGTACTGTCTTGAGAACAATATCCACATCCAGTAATATGAGCAAGGAAATACACTAGCATAGTGCCATTTGATAGACGGTCTTGGGCAATAGATGCTCGCTCCGAGCAATGAGAATCACATACATATAAAACAGGGATGAGATGTGTCTTGAAAAAAAATGTCCAAACAATAGCAGGTAACCAAAAAAACCATCAAGACATAAATATTCACAAACCGGATTCGCGCCGAGTGATACAACTCGAAGGGTATCAAAACAAAAAAAGATCTCTTTTTCTTCTCGCGACGGGTCAAGAAGGCGAGAATCAGACCAGGAAAGAGCAGAAAGAAAGGACGTTACACCGTGACGGACCCCATGCCGAGCTAACACGATCATATAGTCGACTGATGACACAGATGGATCACAGCAAAATCAAATAGTTGGATGGAGCAATGCCAGTGTCTCCATTGGCTTTTCTAGCCTGCCACCATCTTCCACTGACGTCAGATACCTCTAGAATCTCGTGCTTGGTGAAGCTGATCTCATTGGCGTCTTCCGGGTTGGCCTCGTAAGAGTAGATAGCCTTCGCGCGATATGGATACTCGGTCGGTTGCGGAACTTCATCGGGAGGCACACCACTGCCGGGCGGGGCAAGATTCGTTGCTGACGGGTTGCCGAAGCGGGGCTGCGAGGTGCGGTGTTCCGACCCAGGGGCTCCACCATGATAGCCCGAGACAGGCGACGAGGTCTCGAAGCCATTGAGCTGAGCAGAAGTGTACATCTGAGGTGGCTGGCTCGACGTCGTTTCGGGTCGATTTCCGAATGCGGTGGACATAGGTCTGCTGTTGCCGTACGAACCAGCGCCTTCCTTCTGAAGGGCGAATGAATCGATAAAACCTCGGTGAGAAGCCTGTGGGCTCGATCCGAAATAGAAAATCCAGATAATCTATTGCCATCGTAAGTATATGATTGCGCCGAGGACATTGCCATAAACACGTGGGAGAAAATGACGCACGATCACCATGGACAGAAGGATGAAGCCTGCACCCGCGGCTTGCGAAGCTGCATTACTCGAATAAACAAGCGAGTTTACCGAGATTGTGGAGAAGACGAGACCAGCGGACAGGTAGCCCACAATCTAGAAGCTATCAGCCTGAGGGATGTCCATAAGCAGAGACCAGAGTGTCATACCGCGATGTTATAGACCACGCCTGTATCCGTTCCAAACACGAGAGCCATCCCGACAATGATGCAGAACCCATACGCCAAGGCCCACCATGAATAAGTGGGATAGCCCCCATGGATTCCAGTGATTATCGAGGAAATGAATGCGATCAACCATGCTAACTAAGCGATTGAACCCAATTAGCCGGTGTCCGCGGAAGAATGGCCTCACGGGGCTGGAATACGTACGACGGAGATGGAAGTAGTAGCAAGTGCGAACGGGTCGCCAAGAATATTGCTGGCTCTAAATCGCACCATCTTGCGAGCGGGCTCTGGATATAGATGTGGTTTGTGAAGCGATGGTGAGTGGGAAGAGTATGCCACCATGAATGTGGTTCAGAGTCGCAAAGAATTTATATGGCGGTCGTCGGAACGATGATTTGTTGTTCACAAGGCGATGCGATGTGGCTTATGACCTCACGTTCATTGGTGGTATGCGGAGCAGCGACGGCAGGTCCCCTTTGCTTTGATTCGTAACGAGAGAAAGTGGAATGCGAACACGCGAAATGACGATCGTAGATTGCGGCAATGAGCGCGCGGATATAGGGATGGGACTACAGCGCAGTCAGTCAGCTTGGAAGAGGACGAACGTGAGCGTCGAGAGAATCATGCAAGCCAATCGATCGGCAACGGTCGGAGGACATGTTGAGGCACGACAACAACACGAACCATCCCAGGCCAAGTCATGCAGAAAGGAAAAACGAGCAGCCGACATGAGGGTAGGTAGGAGAGTTTAAAAAAAGATTAAAGGCAAATCACAATTTAACGAGTGCCCGGCAGGGGTGATGCATCACATACTTCTGAGACAGACCAAGTGAAATGAGGGTCGAACGATGCGGCTGGCGATCAGGATAGGGACACAATTGACACGGACAGTCTTGAAACAGGCGGAGTATTGACCCAGAGAGCGCCGTGAGGAAGGGTCCTCTGAAGAGGCTGGGGTCAATGAGCCGTGGGAAGAAGTCCAACGAGGAACACCCCTTGCAGAGGATGAACGAGAAAGAGCAGCACCAGGCTGTTGAAGAAAAGGATAAGTATGGAAACGTTAATGCCCGAACAAGATGAACGGACAGGAAAGATGGACAGAGAAAAGACGAAAGAAAGTGGAGAGAGATTGAAATGAGGGGAACTGAGGTTCAAACGAATGAATGAGTTGAAGGGAGGGGGAGGGGAATCCAAAGGAGAGAGGAGAGAAGCGGGAGAGGAAGATGAGAAAGAGAGAAGAGATAGAACCAGCTTGAAGCCCGGGGGACCTGGAGCCGTGGAGAGAAAGAAGGGGAGCTAAAGGTGGGAAAGTTTAGTACAGTTGCCCAGTTGGTCAGTTAGCCGTTGTTGGTCGACTGATTACTGAGTTTGGTGATGGGACTTGGATGGATGGAGACCTGAAGGTGAAGCCTAGGAAAAGGAGAGGGACCCAGAGAGACAATGGAGGTGTAGGTAAGATAGGTAGGTAACTACTGTAGGCAGTAGAGTACTCAGCGACACAGACAGGAACCGAGAGCGATAGACACTTAGACAGACCAGACTCCAGGCACAGGCTGCGTGTTAACAGATCGATTCTGGAATAGTGTCCATTAAGTTAGTACATCAGTTTAGTTGTTGTTGTAACTTGTACGGTACCTGACTAGGTGCAGTGAACTTCCTGAAGGGACGGATGGGGAGGGGCGGCTTCAAGTTTGACTGCTGGAGCGGGAGAGAAACAGCCAATGACTGGCAGGAATTTATCTGACTGGCCCCATTTTCATCACCACCTCAGGGCTCAGGCATTCAACCACCAGACTCAGGCTTCTCCTCAGGCTGGCTCCACGCGAACCGTGAACCGCAAAGGACAAGAGAAGAAAATATGAGTAAGACAGGCACACAGACTGCATACTCTACAGTTTTGGCCCCTCTTCAAAAACGGTTAGTGTATGTGTGTGTCTCTTCGAAGCCCGTGACTCGTGCACTCGATTTATTTGCTACTATTCTTATGCCTACGTACCACTATCCAGTCTCCAGTATCCACAGTCTGACTGCTAACAGGTACCTTTAGTTCACATGGCTTCACTGTTAATGAAACAATCACAGTCAGCAGCAATCCATCCATCCATCCATCCATCCATTCACAAATAGCCAGAACCTGTCCAAAATCCGGTACCAGCCCGATCCAATGGTCCATGGTTCAATCAAATTTCGTCCTCCCCTTTCCAAATCCAAATCAAATCAAAATATCCGGACCGTAATTACACACGTAATAATAAGCCGGATGAGAGAAGATCGAAAAGTCGACTGGGAATCGAGGCCTGTCAAAGAGAGGAGGGGGGGGGGCGCATTCCTGTCAGAAAATGAAAAAAAAAAAAAAAAGGGCTCCGTAATTGCCCACGCTTCTCAAACGAAGATCGATGCACATTCCTACGAAAAATGGGTCCCTCTAATTCCACTTGGGGGGGAGGAAGGGAAAGGGCCCCGGCACGACGCACGCAACGCAACGCCCATGATTTCTTTTCTCTTTCTTTTCTTTTTTTTCTTTTCTTTTTGCCCCTCTCACGGTCTCACGCCTTTTCTTGTTTAGGACTAAAGTAGCCACGCGAGTGGATTCCAGTCGCAAGGTACAGGACTCACGGCAGACCGTCTGGCCCCTTTGAGGCTGAGGTTACCTGTGGCTTGATAACCAAGACATGAAACACGCACGCATGCTCTCTAGGGCTGCTGGCTCCTCAATCCTCGATCCCATCATCTTTGCCTGCCCGGAAACTTCCAGATTTCGGCTCGACTGGAACTTGAGTTTACCGCCATCCATTCCCATCAGTCATAATTTTAAGATGAGAATGGAAGGAGGAAAGTTTGATTTCTCTCTTTTTCCTTTGGCTCACTCTTTGCATTCAACCTACAGCAGCACATTTGTCATGACTGCGATTCTGGCCCGTCTGGTTTGAATTTCGACATAGTTTGTTTATCGGTTTCGACACTCAGCTTACCAGTTGTTGTACTGTGTATTCTGAAGACGCCGACATATGCATCATCCTATGTCTGAAGACAACAACTACAGAACATCAACAAGACCATCTCTCTCTGTCCACTTCAGTTCTATATGCGCATATCCGACACTATGGCTCACTCCAAGGTATTCAAGGTACAGAACCGCCAGGCATCCCAACCAACGGAATCGCGACGCCGTCCTGGGAACGGCAAAAGGCGGACAACGCAAGGCTGAACCTGCAGACACCCTTCCAATATGGCACAGGTTATCCACAAGAGAGAGAGAAGCATGAACCAAACTCAAAAGCCTAGAGTAAGAAACCGAGAGTGAGACACCGGTTTTCCCC